CCTACAGTCCTGTGTTCGCTCAATGTTGCGTTCCCTCACACCATCATGAATATGAAGGACAACGTGGCATGTCTCCCTATTGTGAACTTTGGACTTTGCTCTGAAGTGCTGCCACGAGGGATATCCCTTGCAACTCTTGCCCCGGCTGGCGACTACCACATATCTGCCTTAACAGAGGATACACCGTCATCTGCCAGTATTCAATCGGACAGTGCACTAGGCTGCATAACTAAAATGATTGCCTCGGATCTACCGGCCGAGCATGTGTCTGTGCTTCGTGGCCTTCTTGCATCGTATCAAGACGTCTTTGATCTCTACGACCAACCCCTAGGTCAAACGACCGTCGTAAAGCATCGGATCAACACCGGCGATGCAAATCCAGTACACCGGCGACCCTATAAACTCCTCCGCTATTTTAACTATCCTATCCATATTGGTAGTTATTTTGCCTTCTTTGTCCTTTAGTGCATACATCCGATTTTCGCCTATCCCAAGTTTCCTCTTCACTGCTTTGACGCTTCCTCCATTCTTCAGAGCGTGTTCAATTCTCTCCATGTTATACCTTCTTACATCGCATACCCTACGCCTAATAATCAACTTTGAAAGCTCTGCCAGTTCTATTTGTCTGTTGTACTTGAGACTTTCATGATTTGACGCTTCCTAATGACATTCTTCGTTTCCTGGGAAAGCTTATTAGTGTCCTGTCTAAATATCCTGCCGCTAACTTTCACTGCACAGTCCGTAATGATACTCGTCAGATTATCATTCATTGTATCTACGCTAAGGTTGGTTTCCTCACTAACAGCCAAGTACCTGTTCTGAAGCGATACTCTGAATTCCTGTACTTTCCCTCTCAGTGCTAGCTCATTGATTGGCTTCTTGCGTATCAGTTTCTGTCGTTCCTTCTTCAAGTCTAGGCGAATTCGAGACCGTACCATCCTGTGGTCACTGCATCGTACCCTGCCAACCATTTCAACATCCTGCACGATGCCTTGGTGTGCACTCATTATAAAGTCTATTTTGTTATTATTTTTGCCATTAGGGCTCCTCCATGTCCACTTGCGGTTTCCTCGTTTTAGGTAGATGGTATTCCAAATCCGTAAATTATTGCGTTCTGCGAATTCTACTAGTAGCCCTCCTCTGGCGTTTCTAGTACCGATGCCACAATCTCCTACTGCCTGGTCTCCAGCCTGTTCCTTCCCTACCTTTGCATTAAAGTCTCCCATCAGTATAGTATACTGTGTTTTTACCTTACTCATTGCCGATTCTACATCTTCATAGAAGCTTTCACTCATACTCATTCATTGGAGAGTTTGCAGGGTCAGGCACTGCGTATCTGCCTAGGACTGCCCCGATGCGCTTCTACTTATGCCACAATTGCCAAAGACCATCCGGTCAGGACATGTATAGCTGTGGATTGCCTCAGAGCACACATTCGACATGCTAGCCGTGTCCCCGACCATTACTTGGCCCTACTACCTTCCGGAAGACCACGTGCTACGTTTTCAGACGTCATAGCCAAGCACCTAAACAGCATTCCATCAGGATATACGCCAGCTGCGAGAACGGCATGCCCTTTGTGGTGCCTCGACCAGCCGCAAGTATTTCTAGAAATTCCAGGAATCAAAAAGAAAAGCAGTCACTCCAGAGTAGCATTGAGGCAAGCAACACTGCTATTATTACATGAGTTGTACTTAGACCGAACGCAGATATACACTGATGGGTCCGTCTCATCCAGCCGCTCATCAAGTGCCGCTGTAATTCCGGCTGCAGAAATGACCATCAAGTGTAAGTTGTCGCATATGACTACATCTACGGCATCAGAACTTGCTGCTATAAGGGCTGCTTTACAATATCTCGTTCAAGAACGTCCAGGAAAATGGGTCATATTCTGTGATTCGAAGGCAGCGCTTCAGAGTTTGCAGTCTGCCATGCGTAGGAGGAGCCATGACCAACTGGTACAAGAAATAAGACATTGCCATCATGAAGCTCTAGCACGAGGGCATGATATTATATATCAATGGCTGCCTGGACATATTGGTATTATCGGAAATGAACTAGCCGATGATGCAGCCCGCTCAGCCCATGAAGAAACCCGTGTAGTCCCGATTCCTCTATCAAGGAATGATGCAGCAAGACAACTTTACCTGCTGGCTCGAGATCTCACACGCACGTTCTAATCGTCTACCAGCTTCCAAAGGTGTCAATTTTATGAACTGGATCCTTCGCTAAAGCTAAAGCTACCATCACAACTTTCCCGCTCCGATGCGACACTGTTATGCCGCCTTTGGTTGGGTGTTGCATTCACAAAGGTGTACTCCTTTCGCATTGGTATGGCAGACACTCCTACATGCGACTACTGCGGAGATGAAGAAACCATCGAACACGTCCTCTGCAGCTGCGCTTGCTACGACACACAGCGATGCCAGCTACGGATGGTTTTGAATCGACTTGACCCCGGACCATTTTGTGTGCGGAAGATACTAGGACCTTGGGCATCTGCCTCAGTTGCGCAGAAAGCAACTAAAGCACTGCTTCTTTACCTTAAGTCAACAAACCTGAGCGACCGCCTGTGAACTGCGTGTGCTCACCGAGTGTGCTCGTGATTGTGTGTACCTTCTCATCTTTGTGCAACCTCTTTTCCCCCCTTTATCGCTTCCCCAGTGCAGGGTAGCAAACCGGATGTGCGTCTGGTTAACCTCCCTGCCTTTCCTTGTATCTTTATCTCTCTCTCTCTCTCTCATAGAAGCTTTCAACTGAAACGTCATCATGGCTGGATGTAGGCGCGTAAGCCTGTACCACCTTCGTCTTGTATCTTTTATTCAGTTTAATTACGATACCTACCACTCTTTCATTAATGCTATAGTATTCCTCTACGTTGCCAGCTATGTTTCTGTGAATTAGGAGCTTCACTCCTAGTTCTCTTCTGTCAGCCAAGCCCCAATAGCAAAGGACGTGCCCATTCTGTAGCACCGTATAGGCCTCATCTGTCCGCCTTACCTTATTGAGCCCAATTAAATCTTATTTAACACCCTCTAGCTCCTCGAATAGTACAGCTAGACTTCCCTCACTAGATAAGGTTCTAGCATCAAGCGTTGCCAAGTTCAGGTTCCAATGGCCGCCTGTCCGGATCCAGAGATTCTTAGCACCCTCTGCTGCATTGCAAATCTGACCGCCACCGTGGTCAACTGCTTCGCAGCTGCTGGGGACTGAGGGCCGTGAGTTTTTTGACGTATGCATGTGAGAGGTAGTGGCCAGATACTGCACCAGAGTGGCCAATCTTTCTCTGGTGAGGGAGTGCGTTCCCGGTGGTGGTTACCGGTGGCCGCACGCCAGAACTCTTAATGCAGTTACATCACCACGCGGATTTTTTTTATCCGGTTGGGAGCTGCGCGGCACCGGCATTTGAACCACGGACCTTTTGCATGCGAGGCGGATGCTCTAACCACTCCGCCATCGCTGTACCTCAGATTCGTCATAAACAGCCTCAACATATCGATCTCCATTGAATGAAGCTTACCAGGAATGGCAAGGCTGTGCAGGGGACTCCCCAGGTCGCAGTTTGACATGTCCTTAAAAGAAGAGCACGTGATCTGCGGCGTTTCTATGACAATACGAGCCAGACCGACACCGGCGCTGTCTTCGTCATAGGCTGGAACCAAGAATGCAATTGAAATGTTGGTGCACTGGATATAAAAAAGTTATTGACGCTGCTGATATTTAAGGGCAAAGCTCCTTAGGGTGTGGCTCGTTCTCTTCTTGGTTTGTATGTATTATCTATGCAGCCACCTCTAGTTTATGAATTGCTCATTAGATGGCATTAGTGGATTTTATATAGTTGACGCTTAAAGAAGATAAATGGTGCTGTTATAATAAGAAATTCACAGAATATCCACAGAGTGATTACTGATGAGTAGGGCGATGCATCCGTCCGTCCGTCTGATGCAAGTTATAGTGGGATAGGAGCGGACGGGCGGACAGACGCTCCACTCATAATCGCTCACTTCGTGGATATATACTGTGAATTTTTCTGCAGGACGAAAATGAGCTGGCATACACGGTAATTTCAGTGCATGCAAAATAATGAAATACGTTGTGTACTTCTGAGCTTCTTTCTACGTTCTTCATTCATTTAGGCCGAGTTTCATCGCAGACCCCTCTCCTCCTCATTGGTCGAGTCCAAATGATGTGCCTCTCGCAAATCGCCTTCCTTTAGCCGCCAGCTTGTCGGGATAAAATACGGGAACTGCATGGTACCTAATTCTGATGCAGGAATTTGGTATAACATGACGTGAATAGATGACAAAGCTAAACAGCACTTTCAAACATAATAATCATGACACGCAAGTCATGTATGCTATCATTTACCTCCACCTCATAACATTATGCCGATTTTAAAGTAACATATCAACCTTTTTCATTCGTGCTTCGCATATCGTCGATTCCCACTGTACATGGGATCTGCCAATTTGTTTCAGTGTTTAAATATACAAAACAAAAGCTCACGCTCGGCCACCACATTGTAGATGATTACCTTGAAAGTGTCTACGGTGCAAGCCACCTGAGGGAAGTGATGATTGTGGACAATACAATCTTATTGTTAGCTTTTGGCAAAATTGAAGCCGAGGCTATCGAGACAGTCGAAAGACACCATAATGATGGGAACAATTAATAACAATTGAGAGCATTATTGACTAGACAAGCGAACAATAAAAAGCTAATTACAAACTCGTTTGAAGTAAATATAGAAAAAATTTGGCCAATCATCACAATCGTATCTGTATAAGCATGCCTGTTCAATGAAAGTTTAATTCTGGCAATTTTCTTTGTTACAGACCCTCAAGAGATTATGATTTTCACAGAGCTACCTGCAAAACAATCAAGTGCTGCCACAGCATTTTCTAAGGACCGGTTTCATTCAGTCAATTAGAATGGAATTCATCGCTCATGTACAGCTTTAGGAGCTGTAGGATGAAACAAATAAGTAAAGGACCGAAGCAATGTTTTGTGGATTTAATTCTTTTACTGCCGCGAGATATTCAACTCCAACATACACTGCCGTCATTCACGGTGAAATTTCAAGGAAGCAAAGCATGAACATAGGACAGTGTGCGAATAATTTGACAGAGCATCTAATGGTAAAACAAACAACAATGCTACTAAGGAAAGTAAAAAAAAACATTTCAGAGGACATAAACTGTTCAACGCATCTCAACAACATAGTCAGCATTTTCAACACACAGCAAAGTCCAGGGGTCTCTTCTGGAGTACCTTGATTCATCATCATCAACAGATTCACTTCCCATGGCTCACTGCACACATACGTGAAACCTCATAATCTCACTCAGCACCAGCCAGAAACAAGCAAAGTGGCACTCGCCAAGCCTTTGCCAGCGATAATAGTTATACAGATGCTCGATGACTTTGCTGTTGATTAAAAGGCAATATCATTTGTAATTAGTAATAAACAAATAAATTACAGACAGCTAACAACTCATAGCAAAACCTTCCTTCGTTTCCAGACATGTATACATGAAAAGAAGACATGAACTAAGTGATAAAAAGCCTCAGCATAATTAAAGACATCTTTGCTACAGCAGTAACATCATAGAAGACAATGTTTTGGCTGTCGCAATGACAAACATCCGAGCTGCATATATTGTGCAAATGAAGGAACCAGGTACAAGTTGTTCAGCCAGTCACAAAAGTGCTTGCTATTTTTACATTCAGATTACACAAGTATCCTTATGCAACATATAGTTTCAAATGCAGTACTGCCTTTTTCAACAGGAATAATGCATAAGCTCTTGTCGTATATATCAGTGCTGGCCAAGCATAAATCACAGCCGTGAAATCAAGCTTTTACCTATTAAGATTGCAGTAACAGTAAATATATCGAATTTAACTAATGTTCAATTTATTCAAAATGTAATAAACAGCTATTTGATCTAAATATGGATGTAAGAAGCAACATGGAAGATCACCATGAAGGAAAACCACCAGTACCTGGCTCTCTTGCTAATTATGCAACAACTTGTATAATAAAACAACCAGCTTGGCTCCTGTAGTTCTTGTGGCGAGTATTTCAGCTGGGCAGCAGAAATTTTGGTCATAGTAAGTTCATTCACCACAATACAGAAAATGCTAAATATATTTACATGCAACTTTTCGTCCCTCTTTCAAAGATTATGGCCTGAAGCACAGGTCAGGACTGCAGCTCTATAAACGCATATGTAAATGCTCGTAGGCACAAATATGCATACATAAAATAAACAAAAAAAGCCACAAGAGTGTACCTCGACATCCACTGACAGAGAAAATAAAGAACTAACTAATGAGCATCAGTCTAACTCCTTACTCGTCACCCTTTTTTTTTCACACTCAGACACTGTCACTATAATTATTCAATAGTGTTGAAACGAAAGCGTCCTTTCATTTTCCATCAACTGCATTGACACCTGACCTCTTCCTCAGTGGCTCTTTAGCTTAGCCTAGTCAACAAAGATGCAGTGTTCTGTTGCAGGTATCGATTTATTAATGGCACGAGATAACAGACATCCACAGGAGTCACTGTTTGAGTGAAACTCGAGCTTGCAGGTTCGCTAATAATGCCGCATGATACTTCAGTGGAAGCACTATGTAAAAAGGTTTTGCAATACCTGAAATTGTACATAATTCATTAGAGAATATTGAATACAAACTTTTTTCTGTCATCTTGACTACATAATTTACAGTCGTTGCTTCCCTCATACGAGTTGCATCCCTCATAGGCTAGCACACTATCTTTGTCACGTATGCATGATTGCCATAGCTTGCAGACTTTGGCACCAAACGAACTATCCCATTTTTGCACAACCTAGTACACATAAGTTTAAGTGATGGCCTCGTTGTTGCAGCCCATTGAGTGTTTGTGAAATTGCAGGAATCAAGAACAATAAAAGATGCAGATATTGCATTATATGCGTCTTCTCTGTCATCCTTATTCATTTCATTGAGATACGCCAACTTTGATACAAATTTTGTGCAAATTGTGTCACCAGGCATGCTGACATGTGGGCAAGTTGGTATGTTTTACAAAGACATTACATAGAACATGTCACCAGCACATGAAAATGTACCCAGATGAATGAATAAATGTTGAGACATGAACCTTGCTTTACTACAGAATAGCTTTTTGTGAAAGCAGTATTTTCATTCGTAACAGTGTGATTGTCATGGTGCTCACAAAAGATGACGGTAGTATAATCGCCACTTCAATGAAAGCAGGTACCTAATAATTACATACCTCACTGCAACCATTCATAATGAAACAAGTTGTCTAACCTATCCCAAAAACTCACGGAAGTTAAGCCATCATAAATTCTACAAATGATGAATTCGTAAAAGTATGTGCGAGTCCACTACCATGAAATTCTGCCTTTAAAACTTAAAGCTCACTTCCAGGCTAACCTAACCTCATGGCACTTTGAATAAGAGCACAAGTGCGAAGGCACTGTATCGACCTACAGTTACTGCAGCTTTGGGTGCTGCATGATAACAATAAGCATAATTTACCAAGCATTGCCTGTGTAGTTTGGAAGTGTAGTACTGTCTCAGTACTATCCCTCCTTTCACTACCACATGTCTCCTACCAAGCCCAACCTTCAAGACAGCTCAGTATAAATAAAAAAGCGATGCAAACTATGGCAAAATATATAAATGCTTTTAATCAGCGATGTTTACCCTGGCAAACCAAAGTCAATCATTCAAGCCACAAACTCTACAGCAGTTGATACTTGTATGGTCAAAACATGGTATGCAAGATTTGCAGCTCTATGCATTTCATTCAGTGGTTGATGATGATCGAGCTTACGTGAATATTTTTTAGTAGGCTCCTTTCACTTCACATACAAGATTCTGTGCAGAATTCTAATGATCGACTCGCACAATGGAAAAAATTACATGACTTAGATGTAGCACTGTCTCCACAGGTTGTTTGCAGCTACGTGCTCAATGACAATTTTTGTGAAAACTGTTTCAATAGCATTTTCAGCAAAGGAAGTGGCATACTTCTGCGAAATCAAAAGTTCACGGGCTAATACTGTATATCTACATCATTCCTCACCCAGAAATATGCATTTCCTACCAGGAGTGTGAATTTTGAGTCTCGAAATTAAAAGCAAAAAACTGATTCAGAGCAAGCACCTATCGAAACAAACTGCATGGCACTACATAATGAAAAGAAAGCAGTTATTATTAGAAGCATGGTGTAGTTATTAACACGAATTAGCATCACAATAAAATATGCGGAATCTCTACACATCCTAGCAGGCACCGTGAACTGTATGTCCTACAAGTAGTTTCACTCTAAAACATCCATAAATATCAAATAACAGTTTTTCTCGGCAACTTCTGATGCACGCACGACAGCCTTTTTTATGTACCTCTCACTGTGCATACCATCCATTCTTGATATCTCACTGTATTATTACTTGTGAAGCGTAAATGCTTTGGTTATCCAACTCGTGACACAACAAACTTGAGGAGTGCCCACAAATGAGGAGTCACATTTGAGTCAACTAAATAATGAATATTTTTACCAATGTACTCAATGCACCTTTTATTTGAAGCTTACTTTTATGACCCAAAAAACTGTTACTAATGTTTGTAAGTGTCATTCTAGTAGGACCTGTAGCCAGCAGATTCTGTAATACAGTCTTAAGCAGTTCATTAATTATTAAATTCGATACATGCATTGAAAGATGCCAGTAGCTATACAGCCTCGGTATCTTCATGTCAGTGTCAATATTCACAGAGGGAAATAATCTTCAAACTTTCAGTGCAATATGAAAATTATAATTTTCAGTATTAGGAGAAGCAACTCAAGATACAAACATTAGACCTCAAGAAGCATGGTGCATAAGAAGCATTAAATATGCTTCAGTTACTGCAAGAGAATTGGTTTCAGCAATTGTATCAAGTTTAATGCATCTTTAACGTAAAAGCATGTGTTCTTTTCAGTCATGTGCAGAATTTACAAAGAAAATAAAAGCTTCACGTGGTCATAACGGTATCTATATATGCAGTGCTGTAGAAACAGTGGTTCGACAAACCTTCGAGTGGTGACAGCAGCAGATAGAAAACAGCATTCAATTCTAAACTGAAGTATATTGCCTTGCACAAAATTCATTCAATACAGCCGCAGATGGCGCTTTTGGTTTTACTATGCTGTGGTGCGGTGGGAAGTTTGTTACATCACCATTCATAAAACAATTTTATAGCTCTCATCATTTACAACCACGAGATGCGAGAGAATTCAACATCTAGAAAACAAGATAAATAACATCTGGAAATACGAACAGTAACCTATGATTCCTGCCAACAGTTACAAACATAAACAATTATTTTTAGAAATGCCACTTATAGAATGCTGGCTATAGCATACAGATAGAATCACACTTGTCTAGAGCACCCAGCCGGACGCTCCAGCTGCCGTTTTCTCCAGAAATATCTAAAGACAGAGGCCATAATGATACCAAGCATGGTCATATTGGGTGCTAAACCGTTCTGTTATAATTTAAGCATGAAAACAAGCTCATAGCTGACGTGAAGTAGAAGCCGCAGTCAACAACAATGTTGACGGCTACGCATTCTGCTGCTCTAGACAAATGTTATTCTATCTGTGCATGTCTGTACGGTGTGAATAACACTACAAGCAGCAATAACCCTGTTACAAGATGGGTTTATGTTTGCAGGTTCCTATCTACATAAAAACCATATGCTTAAGCCCTACATGAACTGTCTGTGAGTTTATGTAGACATGCTTTTGTATACAATCCAAGAAAACGTTTTCGATTGCCGTTTTTATAAACCCAAATCACCAAAACGAGTGACACACTGAGCGAAACACTGCAACCTCTGTAATGTACCAGCTGCAACAAGGCCTCCACGCAGACTCACAATAAGCTGCTCTACTGTACTTCATGATATGACTAAGCAATTTGAAAAGTATAGTTGAACACACTAAATTAAGTTATCCTTGCAGCTACGACTAAAAGTGGGGCCCACTTTGCAGGAGCAACCCTTAAAGCCATGAAAGGAAGACGACTTTTCATCGAGCAACTCGCATTCACAGTGCTGCCCTTCTGCAATATAAATGCATGTAAATCTCTTTAGAGACAGATTTCTGCATTGAAATAATTCCTAAAAATGTTCATGAAGGTATCTCTTGTTTACCTCTCTTGTATTGACCAAAGCTAGAATATTCTTTTTATCTTCTGTAATAAATATGTGTGGTATATTACCACATCCACAAAGTAACGTATGCAAATGCCAAGTAATTCTGTTTTGTGTGGCACTCAACAAATCGATTTTTTTAATTAACTGTACATTATTCAGTGTTCATGTTTCTTCTGGGTAAAGGATAATTAAAGTTTAGTGAATTCAATGAAAATGGTTACACAGTGTTAACCGAATGTTCTTACGATTGGCTTGGATGTGTCAAGCTAGTTTCAATACACGACTAGTGCACAGTTTCAAGCTTTGATGTCTCAGCAGCACCACTATAGCTGAAATTTCATACCAGAGTGGCCCACACTCTATCTATCATTGTGAAGTTAGCACCTGCATAATGAGAAGGATGCATGCTTGTATATATACACTGCCTCATTTTGCTTGACTGGCTGAAATGAATCAGTGGTTAAAAGAAGGCAGTGTCAGACATAGTTTATAGAGCATAAAATAATAAGTTAATCATCTTGTTGATGTCTCTGAACAGTAAAAGTTGAGCATAGCCTTTTAATGTCATAGCTCCTCTTCTGGGTTAAATTTTTCTCCACTGAGCAATTCCTTTTTTTTTTGCATACAGCATATATGCCTGCAGTGCCTCTTTACAAGATGTCATAAAAAAAATTCTAAAAATACTTCACCAAATATATCTGAATGTAGCACGTACATGCACACTAGAGGATATACAAAGAACAATGATTAAACACATACCACAGACGAATCACTGAATTCAGAATCCATGCTGAAAATTTATGAATTACTTATGCTATTACCAGCCAAATTTCTAGCACATGTGACTAAGATATCTCAAGCGGCAATAAGCACAACAGCTGCATAGTTCTATACATCACCATTAACACCACCAGTATTTTTTGCTCACAATGACCCAATTCAGGACCTATAATTCAAAGGTTCCCTTTAACAGGTGAAACATTTTTGCATAAAAGATCGATATACTTTTTCTTGTGTGATGAAACCAACAGAAGGTGAATTCATCTTTTCATATTTTCAGGTCAGTCCATTGGTACCACCAAACTTGTAGGAAGAAACAAAATGCTTCCTACATTTTGACACAGTTTTCATGTAGAACATACTTCTTACAAGACTATATGGAACAATTCAGTTCTAAACAAGCAACTGGCCATAACAATTTCTCCACAAATCCACACAGTCTACTTGAACCAGTGAAGTGCAGTGGTGTCAATGTCACAAGTATAGGTGCTCCATCTGTATAGCAGATGTTCACTTTGCCAGATATAACAGCAGTTTAGTTCATTTTTCACTCAGAGTAATTAGATGGGCAATTCATTAAAACAGTCTATTTGCTACAGATTAGCTTGTTACACAATTTCTTCTCCATTGAGTGAACAAAGCTGCCTTGGAAATCAAAAACACTAGCATGAGTATCTTAACCCAAGTCTTCTAAAGCTCCTCCCAGTTTTCAATGGAGATTTGCATAACTCCACAGATGAAACTGTTGTTTACCTTTACCTTTCTGCTAACAGCTTTTATGATGTGCCTTGCTTATGCATTAACAAGGCATCATAATTACTCGCATCTAATGCTTCTTCTCCTGTTGAAAGAAAAGGTCCACGGCAAATTTTGGCGAAAATTGCTGCATAGATATTGCTTGCATAATGAAGTTTAGCCAGATATTCAATAGAGAAAGGGCATCGGTTTTCACGTTACCTTGGCGCCACCTTTAAATGCATGACAAGTTATTCCTTTGCGTTGCTTTTCTTGTTCCAATAAAAAAACTCACCAATTCAGCTGTATTTGCACAAATGCCATGCAACAATGCATCGAAAAAATTTTTGATTGATAGCCTGGGCCATAACTAAGCATTCTGAAAGAGCAGTGTACTTTCCTGCAAATAACAACATCATCATGTCACATATATGTCTGAATAGGAATGTGTACACACAAGTACGTAATAGTGTGGAACACAACTACTGAAATGTCTCCTTTGCAGATAGAAAGCTCAGACATGTCAGCCTGCTCTCGAATGGAAGAACAACCAAGGTACTCCTACCCTATATATTAACACACTACTGACTGCCCCAATAACAGCTCTACTTCACATGGTGATTACTGAGCCCTGAATGCAGGCCAAGATATCCGCCAGTAGTTGCCTATAATCGTTATCTCTGAAGACCAGCCACCATATCAACCCTATCTCCTAAGCAAAGTTCATGGTTGATGTGTCAATGGTCACAAATTAATTTGTTTGTATGCCTTGCGTATCATGCAAGAAGGAGACAAGCGCCTCAACCAGTTGATTCAAACCTGCGTACGTTTGAATTCTGCTACTGCGGCATAGATTTCAGCCAGCTGTCGGGAATGAAAGCACATACAGTGGCCCATGCGCTCTGGTCCTTAATTGATAAATCTCAGGTACAAACAACTGCAAGAAGACTTTCAGGGACTGTTTTCCTGTATGAGAGAGATGGCCAGTTTATTCACTTTGCCAAATTTAGCTGAAGAAGAGATTTTGCAGCGGGAGCTGAAGAAATGCTGGAGGTCAACTGTTCTAAATGTTGAGCATCAAGAGCCACAATCATAAAAACAAGGGAATCCTGACACATAGCCAAGTTTGAGGACTGAGGGAAAACTTGTAGATATATCAAATGCAGTACATTATCAAGGTACTTAAAAGCCCGTGGCAAATTTTTATAGACAGGACAAATTCTCGCTTTGAGTGCAAAATGTTCGTCCCAAAATTGCTTACTGCAAGTGATATCGACTGGAAAGTATGTGCTGAAAGCATACCCCACGACCATGGGAAATGAAAAGCTCATAACAGGAAGTAACAAAAGATACTGAGTCATGAAAAGATACCGAAGTTCATTGACACAACCACATACACAGAAATTGATCGTCTCGTGCATACATAGTGAATAAGTGGTGATATTTCAAAACTGTGAGAAACTTAAGGAAGTTGACCAATGCAAAGCCAACATGCCGCGTATAATTAAACAAACGACCAATCTTTGTGCTGCTCATGCAGCGGACAAGCGAAGTTTTCAAGCATCCTGAAAAAGCTGATGCTTACAAATACAGCAGAGTGAAACAAGTGAGACAAATGAGTAAAGAAACCAGGAAACAGTCCAGAAGTCTAACCCTTCGAATCGAGTGGGTCCGAGGATGTTTTAACTGCACACACCCAACAAAATACCTCAGGCAGCTAAGTCACACTCATGTACCAGCCAAGACGAAGCTGCTGACTATGGCACAAAGATGGCACATCATCTACAGACACACTGATGTCCAGAAAACAACTGTTCTTTGTCGAACAAACTGTGTGTGGCCACTGTGGAAGCACAGCGACACAATTATTTTTCCACAATATAACCAAGCATTGCATTTGAGCACATACAGCAACTCTAGCAGCTTACACAAAACATTTGATTGATCATATTCTACTGGTAAGATGAGAAATAAAAAAAACTTCACACTCGAAGAAGTTACAGTCACAGGCCCCTTAGGGGAGCGTTCCATTGCATTAGAATGGCCATTTGCAGCCAAGGACCTTGAGTTAGACATAGTAAGGCCACAGGAGGAGATAGAGCAACAACACCTGCAGGAAATGACTACTTGAAGGTGCTGCTGCAGTGATGTGACACAAGTCCGCACATCACTTGAGGGCCTCACCACGATGACACACATTTAAGCCGGGAGCGGGAGAGTTGAGATGGCATGATCAGGTGATTGGTTTCATTCACTTGGCACCCGCACGGAAGAAAAAAAAAGGGCAGTGAGCGACACTGTTTCCAAAAGTCACACAGCCACAAGAAGGAAGACTCGAGGCACCGTGTTGTCCCAAGAGCTGCCGGGCCTCACAGACAGCTGGGAGGTCTCTGGCCAGACAAGGCGCAGTGGGAAAATGCTGCCGGCTGGAACACCACAGTCCGCGTAAACTTTGTCCACGTATGCGCGCACCCCTTCAATGCTATCTTTCCAACGCATGATTTTTCATGCCTAGTTCTATCACAATGCCACAACGAAGGTGCCGGGGCTTCCTCGGCACGAAGGCCGTCCTAAGCTCTGTGAGTGGTGTGGAGAGACAGGCTATTCACTCAGGTTGCGAAGGTTGATAACAGGGAGCACACCACAGCTACGATGAGTGCTGCCGCTGCCACGTGTGGTGTCGCTGATCCAGCTGTCCTTGGACGAGGTGTGGTGGAAGTTGTGACGTGGGTCGTTGGCGTCGGTGGGTCCTTGTCAGGTCCTGCACGGGACATATCACAAAAATTAGAGAGGTATCTCGTCTTACACCTTCTCAGAACATTCACAAAGCTAAATTGTTAAAAATAACACTCAGTATTGAGTTCAGTACTTGTTATTCATTTTCAGATTTGCAAGCAGCTGACCGCAAATGCGTTGTAAAAATAACCTTTACTCAGAACAAATTCACATCTGGCACTACATCCACAATAGCTATATTTGAGTGCCAACTTCTGAGAGCAAGGGCTCGGCTGCTGACCCAAAAAATGTGGGTTCATTCCAAGCCGCAGCAGTCGCAATTCAATGGAGGCTTCTGCGGTATTAGAGGCCCAAGTAGTGGTATCAATGCTAATAATATCAATAATATCAATGCTGTGTGACATCAATGCTAATAAATATGCCAGGTAGTCAAAATTATGAGATAGTCTTCAACTTTTTTCGCGTGATACCTCAGAAGTCTGGAATGCCGCAAATGGAATTGCCTAAAAAAATTGGTAAATATTGCAATCACTTTCCAAAGTTTAACCTAGCATCAAGAAATGGCCAGAGCATTTAACATTCTAAAAATGCACGCCATGCAACGGCGAATCTAGAGGGGGGTGATAGGGGCGATCCCCCCCTCCTAAAATCCATGTCAGAAGCACGGCCCCTCACTTTAGTGCTTGAAGTCCACCTCCTGTCACCAATTAGGACTAGTGAGTGAAACCACAGTGAGCCCACATTAACAGAATTCATGCCATGAAGGGGTTTTCCTATCAAAAACAAAATAAATATTGACCACGCCCCCCTCTCTGGTGCTACTTCAGGCGACCCCCCCCCCCCCCCCCCCCTAAAGTGAGTGGCTGGATCCAACTCTGATGCCATGTGCCTTTTTAGACTTCGATAAACATGGTTGTGCAGCTGTTAAAATGCATATACAAAGTTTCTGAAAAAACAGTACACTTGAACAAATTTGTAAAGCTTGATAGAAGTTTCTGATACACCTTGATGGAAGACCCTGCAATGAGTATTCAGTTTACTCTGTTTGCAAAAAAATGCCTGTTTATACTTGGAGCATCTTAAAACAAACGCATAATGCCAGATTTTTTGCCTTTTCAGAATTACTGGTAAGAGAGTTCATGTGGTGTTAAAAGTTGCTAGAGCAAAACTCTCTGCAAAACTACAGAGAAGGTGCAAAGTGCACTTCCAGCAGTGAAAGTTGTATGCAGTGGTAGATAAAACACCTCTTATTACTATTTAGGTGCTTATCAGGAGAGCAATATATATTTGCACTTGTGTTGATTGGCAGCTCATTGATGCATGTTTGAGAAGTACCGTCACCAGAAAATTATCTCTAAAAATTTTAAAAGAGGTGATACGCCAGTAAAACCTGTTTAACAGAGTGATAAGCCAGTAAAACCTGTTCTTGGCCTAGTGTGTTCGACACACTTAAAATGAAAGAACTGTGTGAACCTCTTCACTATTTATTAAGTGGCTTCACCCATGAATAAAATGGGGCGAATTTGCACTTGTCCCTATACCTTCCTTGTGTGAATGTGTTTCTTTTTTTGCGCAACCTTTTCATTTTAAGCATGTCGATAAGTCACTGCCGACTTGACAGAGCTGCACCCACTCGGTACCTGTGCGAGTGGCTCTTAATATTGTGATCACATTATGGCAATTAACTGCCTTGAATACGTCCTTCCAAAACACATGTTTCAGTCATGTATATAAATCCGCCATCTCAAATCGTCCATGCAACAACATTCGTACAAAGTAAAATACTTAGAATCACACGTGTCCAAACAATAATCTGACAAGCAGAGTGACAATTTAGGTGACAACGACAAACATGCACGTACCCTCACCACTGCCAGAGCCACTGTCGAAGTCCTCATCATCTGAAGTGTCCTCGCCTCCCCAGGCACCACTGCCGCTGCCTTCCATGACATAGGAGTCCGATTCTGGCATCATTGATACCTTGTGGCTGAGAATTTCCTGCACAGATCGTAACAAGGTATGACATCCACAGCTAATCATTTCCTAGAGCAATTTAGCTAAGCTGAGTGGAATCCACTCAATACTCTTGTTAATGGGTGCATTTTCAAGAAAAAACCAGACAAGAGTTGTCGGACTAACAGAGCAGCAGGGGAGGCACAATAAATCTATTCTTAGTTGCGTTCCAGAGAATGAAATTCTGTTCTTTTTCTCTAAGTTTCACTGTTGTGTCCGATACAACAGTGTGTCTAATATATGTACAAAAAGGCGCACTTGCATGACCAATTGGTCAACATTTATTTTTAAGTATTTATTTCAGCATTTAAGCATTATTTTAAGTATTTTCAAGTATGTGAAAAAAAATTTAGCCTTGTTTGTAGCAATGAAGTGATTGTGGCTTCAAATGTCAGCTGTTTAAATTGTGCAGCAGCAGCAGGGGTTGTGGTAGAAGTAAAGACCACTATTGTTGCTCACACTGCATATCTTGCTGTTCTAGTTGATTTCGCTTTAAAAAATGCATTAAGGCCATGCAGCATTGTCTCCTGCTGGCGCCATTCATTCGTACTACTTCTAGGGACTGTAGTGAAAGCGGAGCGGGTTGAGGTGTGGGCGATGGCTGGCACAGTTGGTACGCACATTTCCAGTGGTTTTAAACATCAGCTCTTATAGTTCACAGCACAGCCCCTAGACACAGCATTTTGTTAAAAACCTACTAAATTCACTATTTTTGACCAGTTTCTGTCTAAAAACAAAGATGTTGCTACAGGAACAGTAAGTAATTATTTATATTTGATTTCTAGATATGCAGGATTCCATTAAACAGAATTGTGCTTATAAAGGTAATTAAAATAAAGATTTTGAAATGCAAAATGGTCATAACGAATTGTTTTCAAGAAGGTTGAATAATGTATGAACAACAATTGATAGAGTATAATGCAACAAGGTGCAATTAATATTCCAGAAGAACTACTATGAATAATGATGAGTTATTTGTCAACAGCACACGACTAGAATTAGTAAGAGCTTCTTTCTTGGACTCTAATTCTAGTTAAGTAACGTAAACTTGCATATTAGATGTTCAGGTTTTACATTCTTCATTACCAGAGTTGCATAGAGTTTTTTTTTTATTCTCTTGCATGACAGAGGACAAAACAAACCACACGATCAGACCTCTGATTAGAACAGAAGACCAAGCTTCAGGTAACTTGCAGTGTTTCAGCATACGCTACCATGGTAGTTCAATACTCATCAATACTTACTTTAATACTTTAGTTCAATACTCACCTCACATAAGAATTCACATGGCATCTTCATAGGAAATGAAACGTTTTCACTGCAGTTATATTACATGAAAAGGCCTAATTAGGCTATCACTCTTTTTCACAAGATTGCAGGCAAATAAAATTGTGATTACTGCCCAGCAAAAGTCTGTTCTATAACCTTTGGCAGCTTTAGAAGTGCGAGACTATGTTTGTGCATCAGAAGATGCAGCAGTTTCTTACAGTTGTCATTTCTTTGAGGCGACGGGCATGTGTTTCAAGCCAGGAATCCCATGTTGACACTTGATGGCTTGCTTCGGGGTTCTCGTGCTGTGCAGCAGTGCCAGGGGCTGCCACAGGCTTGACGTATCTGTACATATATAAATCACCAGACAGCAATGAGACACACTCCCGCAGTCTTATATTAGAGATCACTAGGTAATACATGAGAAAAAGTGATGAAATTGCCTGGGACAATCCACTGGTAACTTCATGCAGCCTTTCTCTTCCTATGTGCCCCTACAGTAGGAACCCACGTAACCTAAAGTTTTGGTGACGCAGTGAGGAATCATGAGGCCGCACAAAATGCTTGCCCTCCACTGCTGGTGATCTTCCTGAATGTCATTGCCGTGACAGCAAATGCTAGCACTGACGAGCCATGCCTTTGTACATTTGCCAGTGCACATAAAACCCAGTGCTATGTATATAAGGCTTACGCATTTCACATCATGTGAAAGAAGCACTAGCATCTAGCATGATTACCACAACATTGTAAGTTGCATTATTTTGTGCGTTTACGGCCTCTTCAGAAAAATCTGCCACTGAAATGTAGTTACCATCCTTTCATTGCGAGTTGCAGTCCATATTTGCTGCTGATTGGTGCCCTGCTTCGATGGCAGCACTCACATAAGCTGGTCGCAGCATGTCAATAAATCCACTACACATGCTTTCTGCTAAAAAACACGCACTCACGGTCTGCCATACAGGCAACACTGTATGTTCCATGTTTACTAACATACAAGAATAGGCAGTACTTGAAGGATAGGTATCAACCGTTCACATGATCGAGTTCTCCCATATTTCTAAGATCCTGCATGAATAAAACAAGCAATAGCCCAGCCCCATGATACTATTAGTACATTATAGATGAAAGCTTCCCCCATATACTTGATACAAACACTTCCTGTAAGCGACATATGGCAGTTAAAACTATAAATTTTTTCCCTTGTTAACCTTATCACTGCTATGCAATTTGGGCAAAAGTGTGACTCTTACTATTTGTGACTTATCTTGTGTTTAAAATAGGATATACTCAAACCTCAATATAAAAAGGTCATCATCTACACAACCACAATCTCTTTGTATCTGGAAATCCGCTGTGGACATATATATTCATACCATTTTAAATCCATAATGAAAGCATTTTTCACTTGATTTGTTAGAACTGAGAAGAGGTTCCATTGTTCGCAGTACCGGGGCACACCACAACCCAATACGCACCTTCCAATCTGGATGCCATTCCAGCAAGGAGGCGGAGCCACCACATCAGGGTCACAAACAGCGCCAGCGAGAGATGAGAAAAGGGTGCGTGAGGCGCTCAGCTGCCGCAAAAGCTCACGCTGCCGTGACCGCAGCGCAGCGTCAGCACCTCGCAAAGTTGCACCTGACGTTCTCCGCCCAGTCGCAGCAGGCAAATTTGTATGATTAGTGCTACCTGGGCGCCGCCGAGGGTCACCACACTCCAACTTCACCTGAAAGAGAAAAAAAAGAGGCCTCAGCTGCTATATTCAAGCTTCTAATAACCATTGTTTTGAAACAACTTATTGCCATGATTATTATAGCTTATTTCTTTGTTTAAACTTTATTTATTTATTTACAAGATACCTGCCTTGCCTCGAAGGCATCATCACAGGGGAGACATGTTTAGGGTCACAATCTACATATTTTGTAGTGACAAGCAACAAAAAGATATAAAACATGGTCACCATCAAGGTAAACAGCAGATTAGCGTGTTCAAAATTACCAGAAAGCTCAAGAAAAGAAAGACAAACACTAGGACAACAATACATTATTGTAAACAGAATCACAAATAAAAATCATAATGATCATATACAGAAACATAGTTTTCTCATAACACGTTCCAATCTCATACAGTTTGTAGAAAAAAAGACCTGGAAAAATGATTTATGTTGGAACTAAACGCTTGTACTTTCTTGGAGTGGTCGTGCCTAGCCGAAACATAGGATGGTTCTGACAGGTGAGTGCAACTGTCAATGCCTGTTTGAATGTAAAAAATATGGATTATAAAAAATGATACATTGAACATTTTAAAACAACCCCGGATCTTGGATAATCTCCAACCCTGGAGGGTTTTTTAAGGGGCACCCAAAAGTAATCGAGTGCATCAATTTTTTCGCATAGAACAGTTTCGCATGTAACAGGATACTGGAACCATAACTGTGGAAAATAATGAATATGAATGGGCCGCTGCCCACCACGTTCCCATTCAACTAAATGTACATTAGATAAACGTTCTTTATTCATAAAGCCTTCCCTCTTCAATGTTTATCCTAGAAACATTTGGTCAGGCATGCGACTGGTGCTTTGTAGAAGTGTACTTGCCTTCCTACATGTCTTTGTAGTATCAGCACACTTATTCAGATGCACACCTAAGAGCTCTGTGCACGATTTCTGCAGATATGCTTATTCAGCTCAAATCACTTCCGTTTATCACATTCCTTGAAATTTACAAACGAATTAACTGCGTTATGCTGAAATGGCCATTATATCCTCAACAGGACACACTCAGCACAATGGTGGTTGGCATTAAAGCAAGTAGTGACACATTCATGCAGCAGGCCTAATTTTCCTGACATAAATATTTTATTTCAATATCAATTACATGGACACTAGAGGTGCATTTTTGCCATTGTTATTATGTTTCCTATAACTCCAAATGAATATAATCGTCCAGCCCGTTGTATCTTCTATGTACAAACGAAAGCTGCTGACAGGCGCGGCTCAAGCAGAGATGAAGCTCGCCAGTTGGTTCGGTTGGGCAAAGGAGCATGAAGGGTTGCCATGGAGGTCGGGGGGGGTGGGGGGGGGGGAGGCGAAGTCATTTAGGCAACAACTGCAAACTTTGATCGAATGGGCGTGCCATTTCTATTGAGATTCATCGATCACTGAAATCAGTAGGCGGCTCATCCTAGTATGCTGCATTTATTGAAACTGCCTACACCCCATTCAAGAGAGAGACAGCACAGAAGGCCGCTTAATTCGCTCCTTGGTGCAGCCGTATTCCCTTATGCCAGCATTTTGTGTTATTAATTTCAAATCTTTCAGAATGACATCTAACTAGATATTCAATTGTTTGTGAACATGGAATCTAGCATGAATATTGCCACATGTTCATTATGTTCGTCACCGCTGTTAAATGAACTGCAGTGAATATGATAAACATGCGAGGTCCTTCTGCCTGTAGCATGCAACAAGTCGAGGCACAATACGCACCCTTTTCACAAGCTCGGGACCATTCTCCATGGCGTGGATGACAGCTTCAGACACCCTCGAGTCCAGCAATGACAAGGCCTCATCCAGACTGTAAGCACCCACCAATCGTGGAAGGAGGCGGTGCAGGGAGGATACCAGGTCATTCCAGGGTGCTTCTAGGTCCTCCAGTGCAGCCAGGCAGCCACCCCGGGCGGCATTTACACACAGCCCCGAGCAGGTCGGTGCCAACATTGAGGTCTTTCCATTCCTTTTGGCCACTGTAACCGCGAAAACATGACCATTCACTCCTTCCTTCTAGGTTTTGTTTTCAAGACTTTCATGTACAAGACCGTCGGCATTTTTCCGAGTTTAAGTAAAGTTACAGATCGGTTTAGATAATGTCGCGATCATTTCTAAACGCCATTTCTCAATTACCTGTAACACGTGACACGTCTGTATAATAGGTTACAATCTATTATATAGTTACGTCGTGGATGCCATGTTTACCATCATAAAAAACTGGTGGGCTGAAAAGTGGTGCTGTCTAACAAATGGAAAGAAAATGGTGCTTTTCATTTCAAAGTGAACAACTGTATTTCACATGAGACTATGCGCAGCTGTTCGAGTCTCGTAATAAACAAAGCAGCGTTTATTTCAGCAAGGCAAATGAGAAAATTATCTGTAAACTGAGGTACTATTTTTTGGCACGGTAACAGTCGTGCGGTTTGGTTCTGTGGCTTTCAAAGTGATGTCAAGAAAGTTGTCGCCACGCCATTTTGTATTTCACGTCTTCACACTGTCACCCTTCCTCTCTCTCTCTGTACCGACGCACTTCAGAATCCAGAACCTCTGCCACCCTCGAAGTTCCCGACACCCGAAGTCAATAATATTATGATAATGTAATTGTTGAGGTGTAACGTCCCAAAACCGCCATATGATTATGAGAGACGCCGTAGAGGAGGGCTCGGGAAATTTCGACCACCTGGGGTTCTTCAACGTGTACCCAAATCAGAGCACATGGGCCTAAAACATTTCCGCCTCAATCGAAAATGCAGCCGCCGGGCCCGGGATTCTCTCCCGCAACCAGCAGGTCAGCAGCCGAGTGCGTTAGCCACGTCGGGTACTCATCACCGTGGTGAGTACCCAACGTCAGCACGTGCGCGCATGGAAACCGAAACTTTCGACGAGAGGCGAAACGCCTGGGAAGCGTCGCCCAGATTACCACAGGCGCGGCAGTGGATCGCATCCGCGAGTAAATAAATATTCCCATTCTAACACTCAGGCAATGTTCTCCGAAGGCTGGATGATCACCGCCCCTCTGGTTCGCGACGACAGCATATGGATCAGCTACGTGCAATCAGCCATGTCTTTTAACCCCGCTGCAAGCGAGTAAGAAAAAATATCGCGAACGGACGCGCACCGCGATGGCTCGATAGCGGACGCTCCGTCAGACGGCGCAGTGGTGCGGTTTCGTCAAACCGCGGTCGCCGCTCGCACTTCCCGACATAGGCTTCTGTCGGGTGTACAAGTTGGAAATACAATTCAAAATTATTATTAGGAAATCACTTTACTTTCCGTTGAAGCGTGCGACAATCTTTTAGAATAGGCAATAAGTAGCTAGTAATTGTTTAGTGAATGAAGGCATTTGACCTTGGGTACGGGCGCGCATACACAACAGTGAAATACAAAAACGAGCGAACTAGTAGATATGACCAAGCGTGCGCAGGGTCCCCCTTTAAGAGGACCGGAAGTTCATTGGAGCGCCCCCCTTTTAAGTGACTTTAAGGTGCCCCCCCACCCGCCCCCTTCGTGCGCACGGCAAGGATATGACACTCCTTAATCAGGTGTCTCAAACACGCGGCCCATGGACCTTGTGATAGCTATCCGCACCCGCACATCACTGTCCCGCCCCCCTTCCATGTTTTTGTTTTATGACTTGGTGACTGAATTTGTATGGTTTTACTAAACTGGACTGACATCACTTCCTCGCCTATTGCAATTGTTAACGCTTCGTTCGGGCGTGCTACGCAGACTCGACTGGCCTCAAGATTTTTTTCCCTCTTTTTTGTACCCCATGGATGCGGTGCAACAAAAACTCTGTTACAGAACCAGCGCCCAGATTTCAATCAATACACGTTGAAGGATCGAAACCTTCGACGCCGAATCCCCTTCAGAAATGACCCATAAACGATATACGGGAAAAAAACAGATTATTTATAATCTTCTGTTACGTCCCCCTCCCTCTTTCCTCCTTCAGTCCTTCTGTTAAGTTTCCCTTCTACTCCGATGTCATGTTCACTGGTACGGCCCTTGCGGGATTATTATTTTCACTGCGGCCCACTAGCTGATCTGAGCAGAAGACCCTGACAATGAATTATTGCACTCACCTTTTCCCATCGTCGTGGGCGGCAGCGAGGTACAGGCTCCGCAGCCCAGAGCTCGGGCCAGGGCCCGGCTGCAATGCGGTTCGGCGTCATCCGGAGGCGAGCTGGAAGCGTTGACGACTTCAAGCGCCAGTCGCGTGGCTCGAAGTACAGTGTGAACGGCGCCTAGGGACTCGGCCAGGGAACTCTGCAAGCAACAGGATAATGTTTGTCACTTCGTTCGTTACTATATACTGTAAGCCCCGGAACGGCCATCAGAGGAACTGAGGTAAGACCATTAATTGCAACCAGTGCGATATATACAATGAATCACACCAAAATAAAGAAAAGCTACTTCACGTAACTGTTCGCTTCATACATACACACATAATATACAGGGCCGTGACTAGGGGGAGTTGAGGGGGTCCTCAGAGGCCCCGAAATTTTTCTATGTTTTAACTTTTCGGGTGATACTAAGGTGTTTACAAGCCTTCACACCGGTCATAAGTTGCCATAATTAGTCGTTCCACACGTGAAGCTCCCTCCCCCTTTCCACCGCCAAAAGAAATTCCCGGGTACAGCCCCGCACATATGCACAATAAACTGAACCCTCTCCGCGACCTCTAACGTGGCGTTCACAGAACATAGTGATCATAGCGCTGCGTGGCATTTATAAACAAATGCATGTCGCTCGCTGAGGAATGCATTAATCGAAAAATATGAGCCGCGGGAATCGAGAACATGTTCTATTTTTGAATTAGCCAATGAAAATTCCTATATTTAAAGCGGGTACGCGAAACATAGGTTCCGAGCCAGCAATGTGTTTGCAATACAACTGTTCAACGTCGTTTGTAGCGATTCAGTTTTCCCGCGAAAACGCTGTTTAGCGCTTCAGCAAGGCGAAAAGGACAGCTCAACGAGACCAACTGGCCAGGAGCGACGCAGGAAGCGCCTACACATCATGGTACGACGCAAACCGGAACCGAAGAGGTGGGGTAGGGGGGGAGGGGGCGCTGATTGAAAAGAGTCTGACACCCCTCCCATTTGTTTCGTGCTTTAAAGTTTCGGGTGATGTTAGAATATTTACACTGCCTTCGCAACGACTACCAGTTGCCAAAGACAGCTGTTCCACATTCCACCCACCCCAGTCCCCTCCGAAAGAAAAGATAATTGTGATCCTGGGGTACGGTCCTGGTACGACGTGTGCTTCCGCAAGTAATTTCATTCCACTGAAAGATTTCGGACCCATGGCTCGACCACAAGTGATCGCGTTGCATGTAGGAAACTGTGTGAGAGAGAAAGGAAGAACGTGAAGCTGCATTGTGCAACGACGGGCGTGATGGAACGACGAACATTCAGAACGAATTAGCTGCACGTTGCTCGCAGAGCAAGGTCACCCCTCTTATTTATTATTGACACTGCTTCGCAGGTCACTACATGCGATCTATTTTTCGACCGTTGAAATGTGTGACCACCATGAGCGAAGTGACCCTCTCCTGTGTATACCGTTTTTTCCAAGAGCCTGGGAGAGACGATAACAAGAAGAATAAGGCCATTGCCGGAGCTGCGGGGTGCCATTGTCCGCTCCTCTATGCAACACGCATTCTCTCATGCACTCGCCAGCGGCTCCACAAAGCGGCTTCTCTTAAGTGAAAGCAAGCGGTATAACATCCCCTTGTTGCTCAAGCATTAATACTGCTTTCTTTCCCGACTCTCGAATCTTTTTCTCTGTTTTCTTTTCATTGCGACATACTACCAATTGAGGCAATGTATCGCGAGTCTATGCGTGTTATGCGTTGAGCGCAAGTCTATGTTGCAATGAGAACCAGGAATCTCAAACACACTTTTGATATTAACACGATAACTTTAAAGAGCTAGTTTTGCAGCACTTCCGGCGTGGGAGGTTGGGAGCGAAAAAACATCTTTGCGTGACTGAAAAATCAAGAAATATGAAAATAATAAAGAATTCTGGGTCTGAGTGGGGGATCCAACCTGGGTCGTATGAGTGGAAATCGGGTGTTCTACCACAAAGTCACGCCTCTGCTTGTGAATAAAATGAAAATAACACCCTCTGCTTAGAAATGCAGTGAAAGTAACTTTCATGCTTTGCAGAAACTCGCGTATTGTATGCATGCTTCACTATACAACACAAAATATTTTCGTGATAATGCGCGGTACAAGCGTATACATTGCCATCGGGTGCACAAAAACAAGGGATTAACATAATGACTTCCTAGTTTACAGCCAGTCACCCACTACAAAAGGCAACTGCACCAATATAGTGGGTGCATAGCAAGTTCGAAAATATTTGATATCGCGACAGCTGCGCGTTCAACTATTTGTTAAGCGCGAAGCTTCGAATTTTTCTGGGGCCGTGCACAAGAGGTAAACCAACGCAGTTCGGTTGTTGCCGTTATTCAAGTCGGGTAACTTCACGTCCTTGGCCGCCGGCTTCTACGCGGACGTGGGACCACAACTGAAGCCTCTTTGTTGGCCATCGCGTATTTCGCATGCATGCGCCGCTGCCCTGGGAATACATCGTTCAGGCGAGATCGCTTGCACGTCGTACATAATCAACCGAGCCACTATTCAGAAGTGCTTTTCAAACCTGCGAAAAGAACCCATATTACTTTTTTAATCTCCAGTAAAGTGTCATCCAAGTGCACTTCAACCGTCTAGACAAAAACGGCCCTTAGACTGTATACAACAAGGAAGAATGCGCACAGGCGTGATTTGCGTCACGCCTCGATCAGTGGATGCGGTTGAGGATGGTCGACTTCAACGTCGCGTACGCAGGAGTCGCGCGTGGATGACCACATTCCTTTTCCTACCACGATCAAGGATAGGGAGATGTGATCGATCTTCGCCTTCGTACGGTATATGGTAGCTTCACCGTCGTTTACTGTGTACAGAATTTGCTGCCGCCCAAAGCCATATGAGCAAAAAAAAAATGCAAAAGATCGCCAACAACCAATCATTGATGCTAAAGCCTACGTATACGAGTCGCCGAGCATCTGCTGAGCACTGACAAATGAACGATGACCGTGGCGCCGTGTAACGCAGACAGTGCGCACCTGACGCTGAACCTGCTTCTTAGAGAACGTTTCAGATCGGATCCACTGTCCGCCGCGGTGGTTGCTGGCCCGCAGATCACCGGTTCGATGCCGTCCGCGGCATTTTGGTGAAGGCCACATGCAGGCCCTTGTGCTGTGACGTGTCGGTGCGCGTTAAAGAACACCAGCTGGTCGAAATTTCCGGAGCCCTCCACTGCGGCGTGACTCACATCGCGGTTTTGGGACGTATAGATGAATAGAATAGATGGTGAAACTTTATTTAAGAGTCCTGTGTGACGCTACTAGCGCGCGGTGCGCTTCTCCCACGTTGGGACGGGTAGGCTATGAGCCATGACCGCCGCATCGTGGGTTCTCTGGAAGGCCGAAAGCTGATCCCTCCTTTATAGGGGCTTCTGATATCGGAGTACCACTTGGCCGGGTAAAAACCCTATATATTATTATGTTAATCGGATAAACCATAGATATCGGGATCGTTCTGTTCATTCAATGCTTGCCCCATTAGCGAAACGCCTATGGATGCGTCACGTGGTGCAACTGCTACTCGGTTCAAAAGGAACTCGTGAAGTCGCTGCGTTGCCCTGATAGAGCAATATGTGCTTTGGCCAGTCGGGCGTGGCTGCACCTGTGATGTCTTTTACAGGGGATCGGCGGACGGCTTATACCCTTCCCTTGTACGTGTTCTGTTCCCATCCCAAGTTCGCGTTGAAGCCTAAGACAGCACAAACATGCACGTCGCTCGCGTCAGCGGCCACGTTTTTTTTTAACCCTAAGGTTTTGTTTGGGCTACGCCAAGTCTCATACCTTAAGGAGTGTGCTGCTATAGCCTTATTGCGTGGGACATTCCCGCTTTTGCTTCGCTCTTGCGGCGAATCTGTGGCGTCTTCGTTCTGCCACTCTCTTCAATACTCCGAAAGTGCGGTCTTCGTGTGTACCCTATATGTACATATTTGCAACAACTATACGCTCCCTGGATGCACCAGGTGTGCAAGCACACCTGCCACGTGTGGCTGTGCACGAGACGTGATGCTGCCGCCAAACGTTCTCGTGACAATGGCGGGTGAATCAATCGTCTATGAAACAACGTAGCCACCGCAACAAACCTTCCATGTTAAGGCGGCTCACTTAAGCGCGCAACGCCCACATAACCCGACACGCCGTCACACACGGGTAGGCCCAGCGAACAAGTGAACGAACGAAGCGAGTGGGTGATCCCCCAAACGGCATTGCGAGGTATCGCCCCGTTAAGGGGACTGCAAAATCATGTTCGACCGCCTGCGGTTCGCCGGTTAAATAGATTCGTTGGAATGGATTCCCACTGATCGACACGCGATAAACTTGAGTTCTATTAAAGATTGAATAGACAGGACAAGCGCTAACTGCAGCTCTGTTCTCCCCATCGTGCATGTAGATGCAAAAGGAAGGTTATGTCTCGCCGAGGATCAATCAAGCGGGCTGCATTTCTGCAAAGCAGCTGCGGCGTTTGAATGAGACTGTACCTTCCCCCGTCACTTTTGTCTATTTCGCTCATACAACGGCTGACATCTCTGTTCACTTCATCGAGCGCGGCAGTTTTCTAAACGAAATTCAGTATGCAACACAATACGAGCACTTCTGTTGAGTCGAATTGTGTATTTTAAGTAGAAAACGGCGTGGATAAAAAATAAGGAAAAAGACACGAAAGTGCGCGCAGCAAACTTGTCGCAGTTACAGCGTACACTTCCCGCACAACATCCGCTGCACTGTACCCCGGCGGTAATGTCTGTCGCTTGAATCGTCTAATATGCCGGGGACTGGAGCACTCCTTTCCGAATAAATGATTAGCCCACTGTCAACTGCACAAACAGCTGTCGACCTCGTGCCAGATGGTTGTCGTGGCCCGTATGTACAAACTGCACCGAAAACGGTACGTGGCAAAAATCCCCAAGTCAATGGCTAGAAATCTTCTTACGTGCATCTAGCCTACCGCCGTATGCACTACCTTACCCTTCGATTTCTGAATAAATGCGAGATACACTATATTGAGAAAGAAAGGGCATGCAAACACGGACGACAGAAGGAAGTCAAAACATCACAAATGCCTACACCATGTGCGCCTATACCTTATACTAAACCACGAACGACGAAACTACCTTTGCTGTTACATATTGCTGCTCCTGTTACCCCCTTACCTACTCTTCTCCAATACTACAGTCACGCAAGCTGCATGTACTCCTACCAGCCAGGCGCGCAGAAGCCCATGCAGTTATTTCGGACTTCGCATCCGGGAAGAGGGTGGGGGCAAGGGCGCGGTGTGCCGCCCCCTGACTACGCCACTCACTTCTGCTGCTGCATAAGCTATACTATACTAGCGGTTTGTTAAGTGCCACACATGCTACTACTGCGCTTCTTACCACTTCTACTACTCGACACTTCAATCACGAAAACATTTAGTCCATGGTGCAGTCGACTGTTCGTGCTGACTGTGTCTGCTACACCTTGGACGTCGCGCCTCGCCGCCGCCGACAACCGTGCATGCCTGCGAACTGCCTCCGCTCGCCGTCTTTTCTAAATCTGAATACAGTAAAAGCGACAGGCGCCGCCGAGATCCGCGCCGCACGTACATATGCGCGGCGACGTGCGCGTCCATCACTCGGGTGACGCAAGGGCGTCGGGCGCTGCCCGCTGACGCGCTCCGTCCCGAAACGATGAGTGATGGCGAGTCGCTCGCCTTCCGCGAAAAAGACAGCCGCCGCGAAATGGAGGTCGCCGACGAAGCCGTAACGACCCAGACTACCGCTGGCACCCTGCCTGTCGGGCGGCCGCCGCGCATATCCGTCACCGGGCGACGACGAGCGACCAGATATCGTTGCCGAACCATCCGCCAGCTTCCATTGTTCTTGGAGGCCCGCCTCTCACCGACGCCGTCACCACGACAGCGCCCGCACCGATCCGAGGCGATCATTTGCCAAAGCCGTCGCGTCGGGCGTCAGAGGCGAAAGCTCTCATTTCGCGAACGAGCCCCCGGGGTATACGGGTGGGTGACGCGCCGAAAATGTCCGCACGCTGGCCTATGCTGTGTTTTGTTTTGTCTTGGTGCATTTGTATACACAATTGAATGACGACTAGCTTGTCCAGTACGTATATCTACGGGGTCGCTTTGTGCATACCTAGAGAGAGCATGCGGAGATATGTTGTTTTCACTTTCCTGGGAGGACACGGCTCGTGTACAACATCGAACGACACTTGTTAAGTTCGGTACATTACACTGTCGCCATTACATTTATGTTCTTCACCTTTTCATCTCAGAACTCTCGAGGTATCCTGTCCACCAGTGTGCGAGGCAGGCACCAGAATTGGTACATTTTGCGGCAACTTTCACGTTTCTACATCTCAAGTCAGAGGCCAAGGAACGTATATGCAGAAAAAGACGCTGCAACTGCTTGCAAGACAATTCCGGCCAATCCAATCTGGCTGGTCGCAGTAATGGTGAATTAGGCCAGCCGGTGACGAATACAACTTACGGAAGATTAAGTTTTGTGTGTTCGGCTCAGATACTCGGGAAAAATGGGCTTCGCCAAAAGGCAATGATAGGAGATGATTGGCCCGTTACACCTCCTACACAAATACGATGTTCCACATCAGCAACGTCTCGTAGACCGGCCTAATCACATGCAGCGCGCCAATGGATTAACAAATTAAATTTCAACCTGCGTCGTGATGAGGACATATATCGATGTCAATTGACAACAGAGATGTTTCTAGACCAAACTTCGCATCAAGCAGAGCAAACGTCTCCAGCTCCCCATTAAAATAACTCTCTCTCTCTCTCAAACTGTTTTCCAACGTTCGTACTTACTATTATTTACAACCTTCGCACATTCTAAGAGCAAATATCATGTAATAAATGTTTGTCAAGTTCTGAAATTGAACTCTGTCGCGCGGATCGAGTGGTTTGCCGTACACTTATAAAATGGAGAAACGAAGTTTTGGCTCCTCATTTGCACAGTGGGCGGTTAAGCCGAACTAACAGTGTATTAAGAAAGCGGCGTGCAATAACAGCTGTGATACATATCTGTGAGTTTGTTTACGCAAGGTTTATTCAAGAATTATACGCGCATGGAGCCGCTTATAGTGGGTGATGGGGTATGCAGTTGCAGAACGGAGTGCTGGAATAAAGTGAGGACCATTTGGACGAAAAAGAATATATAAATCTTCGGCGCAAAGTAAGAAAATCAGGACAAGTAGAAGACAGAATATGGCACACCTCTGTGGAGTTCAGGGTCGACGAAGCCCCCCCCCCCCTCCCCTCCTCCCCTTCCTTTCCACACAACTGACGCCTCCCATGTGAGAGCATTAGTACATGTTGAAGGAATTATCATATTCGCGAGTACACAGATCACAAAACGTCACCCATAACGCGTGTTGAAACGCAACGTAACACACAAACAAGCATGTAGAAAAACCTCAGCGAGCGCTTAGCGAACGATTTGTGTGCGCTCGGACGCAAGAAGCTGGGACACATATGTGCATATACAAAGTCGTGCGCACGAAAGGGGGGGGGCAGGGGGAGGGGGCAATCACCCCCTCCCTAGACACCTAAGAGGGGGGCGCAAAGTCAGCCATATGCAATCACATACTAGGGAGGGGGGCACTGCGAGTCAGGAAGGGGGGGCGCTAAGCCAGCCCCTTACATTGACACAATAGGGAGGGGGGCACCGTGACGTACCTTCGCCCTCCACCACGAAGGGAAACCCTGCGCACGCCTATGGGTCCTCTACATTTACGATCGGCATCGGCGAGTGCTCGGCGCTTTCACGATCTCGACTTAACGGCGAACGCTGGAAGAGGATCCTGCGTTGACGGTCGGCCAAGACGACAGCGTGCGACGGTCGTCGCCGGAAATGTGACTCAGCGCGTCGTCGCGTTTCCCGTTGCGAGAGCATGGAAAGGAGACCGCGGGCGTCGGAGACGTCCGCCGCATTGTTTGGAAAGCGGGCACGGAGCAACAGGCGTTGTCATTTTACTCAACCGGAAGCGCATATATTTATACCGCGCGGAAGCGGCAGTTTCTCAGACCTATTTCGATCCACGAATGCATCAGTTGAAAAAGCCGGACTTGTGTTACTTGCGCAACCAAAGGGTTGGATTTCACCAGCCTGTACGTGTTGCCGACGTTGACCACACCTGTTGAGCTCACGAGTGCATCAACTGTCATGTCTATTTAAAAACTTTTCCGCAGAGCTATAATGGCCGTTGAATGTGTACCCAACAGTGCGCAATTGGTGACATGTGCTTATGTTACATAGACATCAGTATTAATTTACACGCTGGCCATGGAAGACAGTGCTGCTTGCGACCATTGCAGCAGCGATGAAACGACACAGCACGTTCCCTGACACTGCCCTCATTACAGCGTGCAAAGACGGCAGCTAGCTGCTGCGTTAGCTTGTCTTGACGAGATACCTTTGTCAGAATAGTCAGTGCTGGAAAGGTGACATTATACGTCTTCGCACAGAAAATCAGTGAAGGCCTTATTGAACTTTTTGCGTGATAGTGGCCTATTGAATAGGCTTTGGCACCCCAACTCACTTATTTTTTCCCCTTTCGTGCGTCTATTTCGCTGTTCGCTTTCTTTCCCACCTTTATTCCCCATTCTCCCTTCCATTAGTGCAGGGTAGCAAACCAGATGCTCCAATTTCTGGTTAACCTCCCTGCCTTGCCCTCACTTTATTCTCCCTCTCTACATGCTAGCATTCACTCAAGAACGCAAACCTTATTGTCAAATCAATAATAAGCAAGTCCTGCGTTTCTTTAGTGGGCCTGGTCAGCCGCCGCGGGTGTGGTTTCGGGACCTTGCCTCGAAGCGGCTTCCTTGGCGCGGTGAACGGCCAGAACCCACGATTTCATTAACAGCAGCGTAGCGTCGTAGCCACTAACATATAGCATTGTGGGGATAGAGAACCAAACCAACCACGCTCGGATGGTGGGCTCACTCGGCTCGTTCACTGCATGCGCGCTTCTAATTGCTGTCATCTCTCTAGACGGCGCTCCGCTGTGACGCGCCGACTTGCATTCGCAGAATGACCACAGAAACGCACCACCGATAAACCTCGTCTCCCACGGAATAAAGGGGCACAGATCTGACTATAGCTATGACTATATCGTACGTGCCCTAACGTGATGCGACGTGCTCATCCCTACCTTGAGCCTGAGCGGCGCGTCGCCGAACGGCCTGAGCCGGCCCTGCGCCCCCTTTAGGCAGGCTTTGTAGTCGTCGCTGAAGTCGGCCAGACGCGGGTTCACCGTGTGGAAGTACACCAGCGGGAAAAGGTCGCCGAAGAAGGCGTCCACGGGGTCGTCCTGGGAATCCTCGCGGGCCGACTCGGCGCCCTCCAACGCGCCCGAAGGGAGGCCAAGCCGATGGCGTAGTGCCTGGAACAGCCGTCTGACCGGGGCACGGGCTTCGACCGCGACCCGCTCGGCGTACACGTCCGAAAAGAGGATCTCCGTGTTGCGCTCCGCCTCGGACACCAGACTGGACAGACGCTCTGCAAAAAGAGCCAGCATGGTTATATCATCGAGATATGTGCTATATAAACGAAGGCACGGAGACAATATGCGTTTCACTGTGAGCACTAAAACGTGAAACATGAGTAACTGCCCTAAATATCACGCCACGTTGCGTCTGAAAGTACACTCACCATTACAAAGGCGCACAGGACACGAGATTTTTTCCGAGAAAGAAAATGAACTTATGCGAGCACTATGCACCGTCACACTCCCTCGAAATCGAGTGTTCACTCGGCTGTGGCTGTATTTCCGATTATTCATTGAGTTCTGGCAGTTCCTAGCGCAGAACTTGAAACCTGTCGCGGAATCGACGTCCCGCAAAATTTTATTGGAACGTTGAGGTAAGCTATAGTATTGGTTTCATGTTTTTCAGTGACTAGGGTAATTACAAGGACCGATACCCGTTTTCTATGCACTCTCTTCACGCGAACGAAATATCACCAGTAGTATCTGCGCCCACGCGAGTACACTCTCAAAATGTCTCAAAATTTCTAACAAGTTTATTTCTCAAATATTTCCAACAACTTTCTTTGATACGCAACATCTGCTCCATGCATATGCTTTGTACGGACACTGGCAACAGCGACACCTGATACCAGCGGGCACAGGACTCTTGCACAGTAATACTGTATCCGACTTATAGGCGCCTTGTGCCGGCGGGGGCAGCGCCACCACCCAAGCACGTTCTTCGACACGTTGCGAACGAAAGAAGCATAAAGTGATTGTGTCTATTACGCAGTTGAATGTCAGGCGCCAGTGTATATCTGTAGTGAATAGAAAAAAACTTAACTTTGTCAGAAGCAGGAAACGCTCAGGATTACTTGGTCAAGTCGAAGTAAGAATGTAAATAAAAAACCAGCAGACCAAACGCAGACCAGTTGCGATTCAGTCGCATACCAGGCGCCGAGCGACCGCGCTGTTTCTCAAAATGCACCCCTTTACACATCCTTTATAGTACAGCCAAAGGAGAAGGGCTTTTTATTCCACTCTCAATCAAGTGGCGGGCAAAACGAGAGCGAGAAGGCATTTGGGAGACGGTGAACAACGCAAAAAAGAGAGAAAGAGAGGAATGCGAGTGAAGGAAGGAGCGCCAGAAGGTTCTTCCCAGTCGGTCGCCGCCAGCATTCCACAGTCCGTTCACACTCGCCTTCGCCGTGCAGGGTTCGATGCCCATATCGCCGGAACTCCTTTCGCTGGCGGCGACCAGACATGGAGCAGCGGCGGCGAGCAGCTCCATAACCAGCCCGCGGTGGCGAGAAACACATTGAGGCGCGATGACGAGGCGGACTTAACCCTCTTCTTCCTCCTCCTCGTCCGGGGGCGGCCAAGTTAGAACAATGCTAAACTAGGTAGACACAGAGGGAGGACAAGGGGGGCGTAGTAAGGAAGGGAGAGGGTGGTGTCTAATCCGGCTCCCTGGCATCTCCCGCGCTGCGCGGGTGAGGAAGAAGTAGTAAACAAGAAGAGTCGACGGACGCGGCGGCGTTCCGCGCATTCCCCGCCGCACCTTCGAGTCTCACGCTGCTGACCTCCTCCTTACGTGATCCCCCTCCTCTTCTTCTTCATCGGTCGGTTGCCGCCGACTGTTTGTCGCGCCGCGCCCGAGTTGCCGCGCCGCTCGAACGCCCGGACTCTTCTTGTCGTTGGCCGCACCGATCTGGCATGCCCACCCCACCCTTCTTGCTCCGCGATCTCCCGCTGAGTCCTCCCGCGCTATCTGCCACCACGACCCGCCGAAGAGGACCTCATTGCCATTCCGACCGCAGTTGTTCCCTCTCTGGACATGCCAAATGCTGAACAGAACGCGAGATATCGTGTTCATCTTGTCGCGCTGCCGTCACTGCGAGTCCGGATTACACCATTATGCTAGCATCGTTGCCTCCACTGGCTAATGTTTTCAACTAGTCGAATGACTGCGCGCGGAGACAAGGAATGCGGTAGCAAATTGTGATACCTAATATTAAAGAATCAATTTTCGGTTTTAGAAGGATATCGCTGGTCGAATATAACCAACGGCGGGAAACTTTCTCGTGCATTAATTAGCTGCCCGTCGCGGAGGTCAAGGGTGGCTACATGGAGATGTACTACTGAGCACGAGGATCAGCGTTCGACTCCCACGACTGCAGTTCCGTGGAAGCGCAACGCGAAGGCGCTCCTCTGTACCGTGTTGTGCCTCGCCCAAGTTCCACGTGGTCTTCGCGGCCTGCTGGCACCTGGCAGCTGTTGATGAGTCAACCCTGCACCGGGACGGCGACGGACGCGGACAATCTGGAAAAACCACGTCGCCGGCTCCTCTTGACACAAAAGTCGTTGGCCAAGCTTTTGTCAGCCGCCGAGAGCAACACTCCGAAGCAGCGTCGACCCAGCAGCTGTACGGGGTATTCTGCCTTGCTTGAGTCAACCTGGCTGCATCAGGGAGCGACTTTGCGCATGGGATTCCACGTCATCTCACTGTGGTGCCACGCTGGCGCGTGGGGTCTCCCTCACCAAACAGCGAACTGGGCATGTCTTGCCCCCTTTCCTAGGTTCAGAGGGAGGCGGTGTTTGGCTTTCCCTCTTCGGGGACGGAGAGGAAGACGACGATCTCATTGGAGTATCCTGCGCATAAATTTTCTTTGCAAGGGATCTTGGGAAGGCGGACGATGTATAAAAACGCTAGCGCAGAGGCGCTCGTGGGTGATTCTCTTTTCTTGTTGTACCACGCTACCATGTAAATACTGTATATAAACATTTTTTTCTCCTTCTCCGGCTTCTCTACTCATCCTCTCCGGGGACTCGGATGGCCCGAGTCCGCACCACGCTACCCAAAGGCGCAACAGTGGCTGGCAGCTTATGGGATTCGCCTGCGTCGGCTGCATCGAAGTGGTGAGTGCCGCGTGTTTGCTCTTCTTTTCGCCAGACTCGTTAGCGCAGATGGTCGGTAACGTGGTAGGGTGATTTTGGTAAATTTGATTCGCAGACCAAGAATTGGGTGGCTCGTGGGCAAAATTACCTTAGAAGAGAAACGGTGTGCATATCTAAGATGGAGAAGTTTAAGGTCCAAGAACTCCTCGAAATTTGTCAGGAGCTGAATATTTCGGTCGGCTCGGTTAAAAGAAAACAACAAATTTTGGAGCACTTGGGAAAAGAGGAAGTGAGTTTAGAAGAGGCCATTGAGGCCAGAGAAACCATTTTGGCAAAGAAAGAGGAGCGTGAGCGCTTAGCCCGTGAACAGAGAGAGGAGGAAATAAGGAGGGATCGCGAGGATAAAGAACATGAAATCCGTCTGAAAGAACTGGAGCTTCGTATGTCCGTGGGAAATCGAAATTCAGGGGTGGAGAATCAAAGATAAAGGATCTAATCCACACCTTCAAGGCGGGTGACGGCATTGCATTATACCTCGTGCATTTTGAGCGAGCATGCGAAAATGCAGGGTTTAGTAGGGAGACTTGGCCACAAAAACTGATATGCGTACTACCAGGCGAAGTGTCCGATGTTATCGCAAGAATGAATAAAGAGGACTCCGAGGTGTATGACAGGGTAAAGGCTGCATTGCTACGAAAATATCGCCTATCGACAGAGGCTTTCCGCCTGCGGTTCAGGCACTCTAAGAGGGGCAACGAATCTCATTCAGACTATGCCTACCAAATTAGAGCCAACTTTGAAGAGTGGCTCAAAAGCGCGCAAGTCTATGGCAACCATGACAAGGTCATTGAGTTGATGGTACTTGAGCAGTTTTACCGGGGAATTCCCGAGGAGGTAAGGCTTTGGGTGCAGGATAGGATGAAAGACGTAGACATGAACAGGGCAGCAGAACTCGCCGAAGATTACTGCTCACGCCGTAGTCTCCGCAGTACACCACGAACTTCGGAAAAAAATGAAAAGGTAGAAAGCTGGTCGGGAAACCAGGGACGCAAGAGGTTTGCAAGAAATAACTGGAAACCCGAGAATTCCAAGTTATTAGACAGTCAGCAGGGAAAGGACAGTGAGGGGACTAAGGCGGCACCTTCATCAGGTTCAAAGGCGCCTGGTGACATAGCGCATGCGTTAGAAGCGCGGAAGCCAGTTGTTTGCTACAGCTGCAGAGAAAAGGGCCACATGGCCAGGAGCTGTAAGAGGCACATGGCATTTGCCACAATTCAGGAGTCAGAGGATAGCTTAAAGCTGTTGAAGCCTTACATGAGGACACTCTCAGTGAACGGCCGAATGTGTAGGGTATTGAGGGACTCGGCGGCCACAATGGATGTAGCGCATCCAAGTTGCGTATCTTCCGAAGACTATATAGGAGAGTGTGCCTGGATTCGGCAAGTGGCAGAAAAGCAAAGCGTCTGCCTACCGATAGCGAGGGTTGTAATCGAGGGCCCTTTCGGCCAATTGTGTACGGAAGCAGCAATTTCAGCCAACCTTCCGGAGCACTTCCCTTACCTATTTTCAAATAAGTCTGAGGAAATGTTAAAAACACGTGGAGAATCATTTGCCACCGAAATAGCTTGCATGGCCCTTACCCGTTCGAAGGCGCGCGAGCTGACGCAACAGCTGAGCAGCTCACCCTCGGGGGAACAGACGTCCGAGGGCAGTGTAGGAAAACCTGAGGTAGTTGCGACGGAAAATGAGTCTGCCATGCGAGTTGTCGAGACGGAAACTGGGGCTATGGTCGACAACAGCGAGGAAATATCTCTAACGCCCGAAAACGAGGACTTGGTGACAGGCTCGGTGTTAACACCCGCGTCCACCAGTTGGTGTCAGCTAGCCAGAACCGACCGTGCAACGCTAGTGGTCGATCAAAAGGCGGATCTCGCACTCTCTATGCTGCTAGATGCCATACATAAGGAAGGTAACTCTAGGAAGAACGTTTCGTTCTACACCCAAAACGAGGTGTTGCATCGCAGGTATGAGAACGCTAAAGGGCGGGTCTACAACCAAGTGGTAGTTCCACTAAAATACCGGCGGAACATTCTCGACCTGGCCCACAGCAACGCCTGGGCGGGCCACTTAGGTA